TCTAAGCATCCGTACTTGTCCTGCATCTGGGTTGCGTTGACAGCTGCTCAAGAGAAATGGACACGTTGCAATAACCCACGTGCGGATTAAGCATCCGCTTGAGGGCTCCGTGTGTGTTCGCGTGTGTGGTGGCGTACTGCTCTCCATGCTCCCGTCGATCCTTCAAGTTTTGCGCTGCTTGCTCTTTCCTCCCCTTTCCTCCTTGTTTGCTTTTATTGTATGATTGTGTGTTTCGTGCTCGTATTCATATTTTTGTACATTCACATTCCGTCTGGCCGTAATGCTAGCCGGGCCCTGCGGATGATTATTGCTAGAACCTCCGGCCGTGTTCGCGAAGCCATGGCAAGTTGATTGCTGCGGCGTGGCTCCCATTCCCACGTGCATGTATATACTAGCGAAAGTAAGTCGAGCCGAATTCACGCATGTAATTAATATGTTTGTGTACTTTGCTTTCTGTGTGTGTGTCGTGCATGCGCATTCGCACTGTTGTCATCTGCTCAGGCTACAGCTCGATGAAGTAGTCATCTCATCATCATAAAGGCACCCTCTGGCGCCCCCAGCGCCAGCATTGGATGCTGAGTGGTGCGCGCCGACGGGTGGCCACACAAATTCTGAACTAGCCGTGCCCGATTGTCTAGAGCGGTCGATACTCACACCGTCACCCGCTGCTACATGAAGATGCGAACTACTTGAATTGGTGCCGACGGAGTCCCCAATCTCGTCGACATAGGTGTGCAGCTCGTGCGCTGGGCAAAGTGCACGGCGCGCCGCTGCTGCTTCTCGTCGGGCTTGGTGGCTTGGTACGCGCTAAGCCCCCCCCCCTGTGGGGGCCGCGCCTGGTATGTGAAACCCCGCCTCCTTGCGCACCTCCTCGTTGTTGCCGAGGTCGATGGGCTTGCCACGACGGATACGCACAGCTCGACCTTCATCTGACCGGCTACGAGTCGAAGAGCCCTTGCGCACCTCAGTCTTGGCATCGTCGGCGGTCAGGTCGAAGCGCGCAGGGCCAGGATGAGGCCCTCCTGGCTGGGTAGTACCAGGTATTCCACTGGACGTAGGTGAATACCAGTGTGACTGCGGGGTCGCACCTGCCTGACCCTGAGGAGGCGGTGGCGGTGGTGGTGGTGGCGGCGCCCCTCCATCAATATGCGTACCCAGCTTGGCTGCCGCCTCTTCGTTGATCAAAGCCTGCTCGGCTTCAAATCTCGCTTGTGCCTCACATTGATGTTCGACTTTGACCTGTCGCTAAAGCTCTGCTGTCCGCTCGATGTCGAAATCACGCTCGTACTCGTCTTGTAACAAACCTTCAGCCTCTGCATTGATACGTCGCTGTTCAGCTTCAGCCTGTGCTTCATCCTGCTCACGCTGATCACGTGCCCGCTGCTCGTCTTTGGGCATGTCGTGGTAAGCCTGCGCGCCGAAGGGGTCGGTCGAGGCAATCGCAGAGGGAGCAGACACAGGCTTGGTCCAGGCATCAGCTGCATCCGCTGGCGGAGGCATCTGCGACTGCGAAGGTACACTCAGCGGTGCTTCCTGGGGGGCCTGCCCTGCTGGGGTAGCTGCCTGCGATTGCGACGGAATGGTCTGCGGCTGCTGCTGACGTTGACCTTCTGGAGTTGATGCAGGTGGTGTATCCGAAACCTCGGCCACTCTCTGCGGCGCCGCTTGAGTCTGTGGCATTACTGTCTGACCACTTGATGCACCAAACTGCGCGAAGAGGAATTGTAACTTGTTTGCTTGTAACTGTGTCTCTCGCTGCTGTGCGTGGATCTGCGCCGCCTGGTTCTTCTGCTGGTCCAATATGAGCTGCAGCGACGCCGTTATCTGAGCCATCGCACTAGGCTTTCCCCCCTGCCCCTGGTCGGAAGACACTGGGGGAGGTGGAGGGGGCGGTGGCCTTGCCGCTGCTGCCTTTGCTGCGGCTGGTCTGGGTCCTGCGCCCTGCACCACTTGGGGGGGGGGGCAGGCGGCGGCGGCCGAGCAGGCGCTGACTGATGGTCAACTTCCATATGCGAATCCATATCCTCCGTGATGTGCCGCTTGGAAGCCTGCCCCAAGGACTCGAGCTGCTACCTGGCTTGAGCATACTCTTCTTGTAAATCATCCCGTTGGTTGACCAGCTCTCCCAGTTGCTTTTCAATATTGTCAAGCTTCTCCTTCACGATGTCGGCACGCTTGCTGATGGACTTCTCCTGCTCTGCAACAGGTAATAGCTGCAAGATGCCAGCCTTCAAAACAGATGCCTCTGTGATCTCTATCGCCGCTGACTTGCCAGCAGCTCTGAGAGAGATAACCAGGTCAGCCAATTGATAAATACGTCTCCATTGCTTTTGCTTATAGTATTTGGCCTTTTCCTTGTCGTCGTCGGGTGGCGGCCTGACCCATGCATCAGAAACTTGGGCCAGGCGCGGGTGCATAGGGCCGATCTCATTGATCACTCTGCGAACGGGTCCTTCTTTCTTTTTGCGGCTACCTGAACGTTCACGAGTTTCTTTCTTCGCTCTATCACCTTTGTCATGTGACTTTTGCCTCTTGGGCTTGTCATTGCCGTATTGGTTACCACACTGTTTGCAGTACCAGAACATTGCACCATTCTTGGTCGAGCACTTCACGCATGTCCAAGGCGCCATCGCACTGTGGTGTGACGATAATCGAACCCTGGCGTCTGCAACACGGAGCAATGTGCGGTCCGCCGTGCGCTGCCTGCGCTGACGACGGTGCCAAGCGGGTTCCTGGCCACGAGCGCCGAAGGACTTCGTCGGGAACCGCAGCGCCACAGGCAGCCCCAACCGCCCCGAGCAGGGACCTTGCGCCTCGAGAGGGCGCTGGCTGAAGCCGCGAGGCCTGGCCGCCGATGGCACGGCGGACGCGCGGGGTCGCCCTGCGGGGCGGCGCGCGCGGTGGGGGGGCGCCGCGCCCCGTTCGATTAGGGCAACGCCTCATCCTCCTCCTCCTCCTCCTCCCTCCTCCTCCTCCGCCCTCGTCCTCCCTCCTCCTCCTCCTCCTTTCTCCCCCACTCCAGCGCGCCCCCGCTCCGAGAAGGGCCCACGAGCGAGCAGCGCTCGACGGGCCCAGGGCCCCCCTCCCTGAGCCCGCTCTCCCGGCGTCGGGGCCCGCTCTGGGCCGCCGGGCGGGCGCTTGAGATCCGGAGCCCGTTCGGCCGCCGGGCGGGCGAGGCACCCCTCAGAGGAGGCGAAGGTGCGGTCGAAGCGAGGTGTAAAAGGTCGAGGTCGGTTCGGGGAGGGTGCCCTGATGTTCTCCGTGTTTGGGGATGTTCTCGTGCATCCTAGGGGAGGGTACCCTCGAAGCCTCTTCAGTTTGGGCCGGCGGAGGGTCTCACGTTCTTGAAGGATGCTATTCTGTCCTAGGTCCAACCGTACCAGTACCGCTACGGTGGTGCCGACCGGCGGCGGCCAACGTTGGACGCCGCCGGCTATCCAGAATCGGTCGATGCTGAACGATCAGACGTTTCGGAATCAGCCGATCGTTCAAGGTTGAATTAAACCCGCGGTGTCAGGAACCAACGCTGGGACTGGCACGATAAGAACCCGGCGTACCAATACCGCTACCCGTTTGGGCCTCCTGAGAGGCCCTCATCGCCACGGCTGGATTCGCCTCGAAGATCTGGTCAGAACACACCCCGGGAGGGGTCCGGGTAGTAGCGGTATCGGTGCCTTGTTGTTTCCCCAGCCCACCATAAATCTTGGGCGTTTGCCCGTTCGGCCTCCCGTTCGACGGCCGAGTGGGCTTCAGAAGGGGACCTTCGGGAGGAGTCACCCCATCTCGGTCCTGGTCCGATTTGCCCTCCTCTCGCACGCGTCACGCTCGCTAATCTTTCAGGCCATGGATCAGTGCCTGTGCTTGCCTATCTCAGGTCGACTCGTGTTGTATTCCCGGTTTGCTTGGCGACATGTTGAATCGCACTCCTCCTCCTCCTCCTCCTCCTCCTCCTCCTCCTCCTCCTCCTCCTCCTCCTCCTCCTCCTCCTCTTTCTCCTGCTCCTCCTCCTCCTCCTCCTCCTCCTCCTCCCTCCTCCTCCTCCTCCTCCTCCTCCTCCTCCTCCTCCTCCTCCTCCTCCTCCTCCTCCTCCTCCTCGGTGCACGCTCCGCCTCCTCCTCCTCCTCCTCCTCCTCCTCCTCCTCCGTTCGGCACCGAGCCTGGACTCCGACTGCTCTTCGGCCTCCCGGCCTTCCCGCACCTCGCCATCTCTTGCTCAGCCTCGTGATCCCTCCGGGGGCCCGTCCCGGACAGGAGTCCAACGGGAGCCGCGCTCTGGCGGCGAGACGCCCCCCGGAAGGCCCAAGAGGGCCCGAGAAGGTCCCCAAAGCTTCGATCCGCGATCCGCCTCCTACCCCTCCTCCTCCTCCTCCTCCTCCTCCTCCTCCTCCTCCCCCTCCTCCTCCCCCTCCTCCTCCTCCCCTCCTCCTCCTCCTCCCCCTTCTCCTCCTCCTCCTCCCCCCTCCTCCTCCTCCCCCTCCTCCTCCTCCTCCTCCTCCTCCTCCTCCTCCTCCTCTCCTCCTCCTCTCCTCCTCCTCCTCCTCCTCCTCCTCCTCCTCCTCCTCCTCCTCCTCCTCCTCCTCCTCCTTCCCCCGAGCGCGTCGCCTTAGTTGTTCACGTCTACAGCGAGATGAAGAACGCTGCTGCCGCCGACCCAGCCTCCTCTGGAGTCGGCTTCGAGCGCAGCCCCTTGCCCTCTGGCGCTTGTCGTCCCCATGTGCTCCCGCTGCCGCCGCGACGATTGCTCTGCCCCTGCGTGGTTTCGGGCCTCATTTCCCCCTGTGTCGGTCCTCTCCGCTCGTGGTCTTTCCTTGGCCCCTCGCTTCGCCTTGCCTTTCAGGCCCTTCGTCGGTTGCCTTTTCGTCGCCTTTTGCGGCTGCAGCTGCCTGGGAGCCATCGCTTGATTTTACCCATGCCCAGATCATGCGTGCAGGTGCTTCGGAGACGCGCGTCGCCCGGGCACTCTGTCACCCCTCCTCCCCCCCGAGATCCCCTTCTCGGAGGGGCTACGCGCTCGTGGGCGTGGAGCAGACGCACACGAGCGTCCCGCTGGACGAGTGGCGTTTCGCGCCGCAGACCGCGCTGCTCCTGGGCGCGGAGAAGGTCGCCAGCCTGCGCGCGCGAGGAGGAGGAGAAGACGAGGAGGCGAGGGGCGAGCGTCGAAGATCGACGAGTAGACGAGGACGAGAAGACGGGGCGAATGGGCGGGGGGCGGCAAACCCGAGCGAGCTAGCCGTTTCCATCGCACGCGCTAATCGGCAGGCCACGCACTGAAGGTCACTCCTGCCTGGGGGGGGCCGACCTCGCGCGGGGCCGCGCAGCGCAAGCAGGGGCAGCGTTCTGGGGGGATGCGCTCGGGGAGCGTGCGCATCGACCCCGGATCGCCCATTGATCGCCGATGGGGGCCCGATGGCACGGCCCTCCCAGGAGCGCGCGGATTCGTCGTCGGGGAGCTTAACTATCGCCGATCTGTCGGCGATGTGTTGCCGATTCCAGCTCGAGCCCCCCCCTCCTGGAGCCAATCCTCTGGTGGCTCGCATGTCCGACCTCGGGCCTCCGGCGGCCGCTCGGGAAGATCCGGATCCCCCCTAAGACCGTTCTCGGCGAGGCGCAGCCGACGGAAGCCGTCCCGGCCCGAGGCCGGAAAGGCTGCGGCACGCGGCGGAGTCGCCCGACAAGCCTCGAACCTCGAGACCTCGAGGTCCCCAACGGTTTCCCCCCTGGTCGCCCCCCCCCCCCTCCCCCTGGCCAGGCTCTCCCCAGCGCTGACCCCCGGCAGAAGGGGGGCGCGTGGGCGGCGCGTGGGCGGGCGGCTTGCCGAGAGCGCCGCCGCAGGAGGGGATCGACGCCGAGCTGCTCCCGCTGCTCGACGCGTGCGTGGAGATCCCACAGGAGCGCCGCGCCTCCTGGTGCTCGAGCGGGGGATCGGCTACAGAGTGGATTCCTCCCAGATTGCTCCGTCGAATCTGCGAGAAAAATACATACAACGGCTGTATATATATATATATATATATACACACAAATCAACATGATGCGCATTGGTTGGTAGATCCGACGAGACCTTCAGTGTTGGGGCAAATCAATTATGTAGTCGATCTCCGACTCGAGCTTTCACAGATTGTCTCACCCCCGACTTCTTGTTGAATCGATGGCCCCCAAGATGGCCCCAATACCCAAGACCCCAAGAGGACCTCTCCAAGGGAGCCCAAAGGCCTCCCAGATGGCCCCAACAGGGCCCCGGATGGCCCAAGCAAGCTGCCAAGAGGCCCTCAAGTCGAGAGATCTGCGAAGGCATGTATGGTTGGTTTGGGTTGCGCCCGATCTGCGGTTTCGCGGCTGCCCCCCTTCTTTGACAGATTGGGGTTTGGGGTGGTCAGGGGTAACTCCTGATCCGTACCTCGGGGGCCACTGGCGGAGTTGCCCGTGACCATGGCTAGTCCGCATAATGCAAGCGTCCACCCCCTCCCGACTCATCGGGGCTTGGGGGTGGTCAGAGGGAAATCTTGGTTCGTGCCTCGAGGGCCCAAGGCATCACTTGCGACTCTTCGCCCCCAACCCCCGGCTTTGCGGCCGAAGGGGGCATTCGACGGTCAAGAAAGCAAAAGAAAGGGAGGAGGTGGGGAAGGGGGGGCAGGAGGGCGCCGAAGATGGCGCGGGCGCAGGAGGAGAGGCGGGCAAGGAGACGGGAGAGGAGGAATGTTGGGAGGGACCTGCGTGGATCGAATGTTTAAGCGCGAGGAGAGCCCACCTCCTGGTGACCCCCCTCTTCCTCCTTCCCTCTTCTTTGGTTTCTCCTCCACATTTCCTTTTTTCCTCGCCCGCCTTTCCTCGCCCGCCCGCGCTCTTCTCAGGCCATCTCAGCCTCGGCCGCCACTTTTTCACCGTCTGTGCGTCCCTAGGTATCGTCTTTATCACCCGACGGGTGGTCACACGCATGACAGTGGGTTCCAGCTTCGCCTCCCGCCACCCGTGGAGCAGTGCCGAAGCCCACTGCCACCGTCCGCCAATCCCGCGAGCGCTTATCCCAGCGTTGCAGCCGATGACGTCGAGCTCCAAACCCGAATCCAGCATTCCATACTGGGCAGCGCCAGCGCCCGCTGTCTGCTCGCCGTTCTGGCACACGCGGACCCCAGCTCCATGGCTGATGACGTTGGGCATCAACTACCCGGGCGAGGGGGTACCCACCCCCTCCGACAAACATGTAAGCAGAAAGCTGAACATTCCGCAACTTGTTTGGGACCTATGGTATACCCAGGGGGTGGCGCCGATCCTCGATAGGGGTGCGCCAAAATTGACCGGAAAATTGTGTATCCCAGGCCCTGCGGAGTATATCACAGGCGTTCCTCCCTTTCTCGAGGGCTCGAGGCCGGGGATGTCATCCCCTGTGGCCGCCCCCGGCGGGGGGGTGCGGGGGGGCTGAGTAGTTGGGCCCTAGATGATGTCGAGAATGAAGAGGAGGAAGGATAATGGAGAGAGGGGCCGGAATAAGGGTGGAGCGGGAGGATCAGCAGGACAATCAGGAGGAGGAGGATGAAGAGGGGGAGGAGGAGGAGGAGGAGAAGGCATTCTGGCCCTCAGAGGTCTGGGGCCAGATCGATCGGCTCGGATCGGGCAATCGGCGCCGCCGCCCGGTCTAGCTCGCGGTCAGGCCGACCTCGGGGCCGGGCCCCAAGCGCGCCGCGCGGCGCCCTCTCGGAGGCCACCGTCGCCTCCCTGTCTCCGAGAGGGCCGCGATTCGCGGCCGCGCGCCTCGCGGCGCCCCCCTGGCAACGCCGGCCGACGGAGGCTGGCACAGGCGGGAGCGCTCCCGCCGCAGCGCTGCCAGGACTCTACTGCGCGTCCTGGACGCGGCACGGCTGCTGGGGAGTCACCACTCGGCTCAGCACTCGACCGAGGTGATGGCGCTGCCAAAGCACAAGTGGCAGTGCGGCGGCTGTGGGGCACCCGTCCCCAACAGCATGTGGCACTGCAGATGTGGATTCAAGTGGAGACCGCCGAGGACAGCCACAGGCCAAGCCCCAGCTGCAGGTCGTCAGGCCTCAGGCAGCAAGACAGGCAAGAAGCAGAAGGTGCAGCAGGTGTTCAGCCAGGAGCATGCTGCCATCTTCAAAGACGTGGGCTTCCTGACACTGGACGAGGCGCGAAGCCTCAAGGAGTGGAGGGAGCCGCCTGCGCCTGAGCAGGCCGCGCTGAGGGCGCCATTCAAGGCATCACTGGTTGCCAGGGCGAAGCGGCTGCTGGACGTGGTGCAGGCCAACAGGCGGGCGCAGAAGGAGTCAGCACTTGAAGAGCAGGAACTCAGCATGCTGAAGACGGCACTACTCATGCTGAAGCCCAAGGGAGTGCAGCTGCCTGAGTTGACCAAGCTGCGCTTCGACATGAACACAGAGTTGAACGCGATCCACGTGCAGCAGAAGCAGCTCCACCAGAGAGCGATGTTGCTGGAGGTGAGGATCGCCAAGGTATATGATCAAGAGCAAGAGCTGATGGCTCAGGACCTGGAGCCTGGCTTCACCTCTGAGGAGGACGAGGTGCCCGACGAGCAGCCCGCGCAGGCCAGTGCGCAGCCGCCCGTGGCGCCCAAGGGGTGGGCGACGGGAGCTCCCTGGCGCACCTCCGCCACAGTGGCTGCCGCCCAGGCTGATCCAGGACCAGCTGCTGCTTCAGGCGCTGGGCAGACGCCGAGAGGCATGTCCCGCCAGCTGCTCACGGTCAAGAGGGAGCACATCTCTCAGTCCTCGCCCAGCAAGCAGGAGGAGACGGCGTCGGCGGCGCGCAGCAGGTCCGAGTTCTTCAACCAGGAGGTCGCCCAGGCCATCAGACAGCTCAACCAGCGCATGGACAGCATCCAGTCACAGTGTCAGCAGCAGCGCGCGGCCCCTCCTGCTCCCCCCCAGGCCGCGGAGGCCCAGCAGCTTGAGCTGTCGGCACGCATGCAGCAGGAGTGCCAGGCTTTGGAGCTGCGCATGCAACAGGAGTTCCAAGAGCAGAACTGGGGTGTCAAGCGTATGCAGCAGGAGCTGGAGGAGCGCGAGCGCATGCTAGCGGTGCAGCAGAAGGAATTCATCCAGACCGAGACCGCTCAGAGGACCAGAATGGAGGCGCAGCAGATGGCCATCTCACAGGTTACGCAGCAGCACCAAGTGCAAGACTATCGGCTGGAGACCGCCCTGAGAGCACGCTTGGAGGAGGCCATGCAGCTGGAGGAGACCAACGAGCAGGCTCTGCGCCAGCGGGCTGAACTTCAAGAGCAATGCAGGTTCCTCGCAGAGCGCTCGAGCCAGCTCCAGGCTCAGTCAGACTCGGTTGCCACGCACCTCGACGCCCGCCAGCAAGCTGCAGCTGAGCTGGACGAGGCGAACTGTCGCATCATTGAACAACAGCAACAGCGGGCCTGTGAGGAGCAGAGGAAGTACGAGGGGCTGGAGATTCATGCGCGCCGTAGGTTCCAACAAGCTATGGAACAGCTGGAGGTGGAAGCCCGCGCCGCCCGCCAGGTGATGGTTCGAAGCGCCCAGGAAGCCGCGGAGCAGGCAGCCTTGGAGCAAGCCCAGGCAGCTGAACACGCCCAGCAGCGGCACTCCAGCCAGCAACGGGAGGCAGCCATGGCCATCCTGCAGGAAGCCGACAGGTTGCGCATGGAGCAGAGGATTCTGTCCGAAGCCGAGGCCGAGCAACTCCACATCAGGGCGCGCGTCCTCAATGCGGACCTGCTTCTCGAGGAGGAGACCATCGCACAGCAGTTCCAGCGAGAGGAATTGGCCCTGCAGCAGGAGGAGCTCCAGGAGGCCGCTGCCAGGATCCACCGCAGTCGAGAGGCAGCGCAGGGGAAGGTGGGGCCACCTCAGGTCGCACCAGACTCGGCATGTGCGGAATCGCTGGCAGGCATGGCTCCCAGGAATGCCACCCACTCAGACGAAGGGAAACCCTGGGGTGAGACCCCTCCTGCCCAGACGTGCCAGCAGGAAGCCAATGGGACAGATACTCCAGTAGCCGTCTCCCCAATCGAGGTAACTCCACCGGCGGAGGCGCCTGCTCGGATGCCTGATCAGCCGAGTGGAGCTGGGCAATGCTTCATTGACTGGCAGCAGGTGCAGGTCCACTGGGCTCAGTGGCTGCTCCCGCCCAATTCCCGCCAGGGCAGGGCTCCACGGGAGAGTTGAACGACAGCCTATCCCCAGCCCAGCCCTCGGACCAGGGATCCTCGAGTGGGGGGCCTGCTGTCCTCTCCCCAACGCAGCCAGTGGACCCGCGCTGGTGGCTGCCAGGGACCCCAGAGGCAGACGAGAGCAGCGGGAGCCGCGATGTTGCCCAGTCGGTCTCCGCCCCCCCGGGCGTCGAGGCCCGCCTGCAGGGGAGGCGGCAGCAGCAAGCGGCCCCTGGCAAGCCAGTCAGCGTGGCCTCCAACTCTCCATCACAAGGTAAGGACAGCACCGCATCTGCGGGGCCTTCGTCGGCAAGCCTGTCAGACGCCACGCTGCGCGACAACCTCCTGGACCTCACGGCCACAGGGACACCAGTTTTTCGAGGAGCCAGCTCGGCCAGCCGCCCGCCAGGTTCAGCGGACGAGGGTCACGAGAGCTCGGCATCGGCAGGGGGATCATCGACCTGCCAGACCAAGCAGCAGCATGTCAAGCAGAGGCTGCTGCAGCATGGGGCCAGGGGCAAGCTCTTCCAGACCAGGGAGCAGGGGCTGGAGGACCTGCGCCGTGCCAAGGAGGCCAAGGCCTCCCTCGGCTGACCCCAATCAGCGATCGCGCAGCGGCTGGCGTGGGCGCAGAGGCTGGGGGCGAAAGCGTAACAGGGCGAAATACACCTGGAGCTACGCCTACCTCTGCGTGGGGTTGTGGCGCAAGCGTAACGGGGCGAAACACACCCGGAGCTACGCCACC